CCTCATTTTTGTTGTTACCAAATGTTGTGGAGTATTTTCACAGTGGAGGCTTGTATTTCTAATAAGTCGTCCTAAATTAAGTCCGACGTACAAAACGTTAGGAACTTGGAAAATAAGAGTCAATGGCGCAGCAATCTGGTTGTGATGGTTGGTACTTCAAATGTCCGAATTTCGACTGACACGCTTAACACCATTCTGCCAGACTTGCCACTGCTACTCCTACTTAGTATCTATGGGAGAGTCCATTACAATAGAATAGGTAGTATAACACCATCACAACATTTCGGGCGTTGTGCCTCCCCCGGACTTCATCAGTTGTATATCGATCTGGGTAACTTACAGAGAGTTCTTAACTGAACCCTTTATTTAATGTACGGGCGTAGACTGTTCTCGTTCCACTGCCAATGTCTAGAAATATTGTCTAGTTCTTATTTTTAGGACTGCTCAGTTATTGCTCACCTGTTTTCCACTGAGTCCAAGTACACACTGCCCGGCCAAGGGATTGATGTAAATTATTATCTCACGAAATTCACGAACCAAAAGCTTACATGTAAATATATATATATATATATATATATATATATATATATATATATATATATATATATATGATTTACATGTAATCGACGTTTTATTACTTAATACGTTATTATAATGGATGCTTCGTATTTGAAATCACTTGAGAAAAAGAATTAGTATGAATTTCACTAATGAAGAAATATTCTATAAACATAGTAATTTTTACAACCAAGCTCTAAAATATAGTGGTTACAAACACCCTAACATCAATTATAGAAAAAAATAATAGTATAAACTAGAAGAAAAACAGAAAAAGAAAAATCCTTTCGTACACCCGCTGTTCAATAAAATGGTTAGTAATAAGCTAGAACAAAAATTTCTAGCTTTAATCCAAAAGCGTTTTCTTAATAATAGTAAACTTAGCAAGGTTTTTAATAAAAAACACCCTAAAATTAAGTTACAGCTGTACTGAAAATTTAGAAAGGATTATAAAACATAATAAAATTTTGAAAAAAATACGCATGCCAAAATCAAATAAATAAACATCCTAAAATGAAATTATACTACATTAATGAAAAATTATCTAACTGTAGTAACCCTGAAAATTGCCCTTTGAATAAAAAAAAATGCCGCATAGAATCCGTAGTATACCAATGCATAATCTCATCTATTGATAATCCACATATTGAAAAGATATATATAGGATCCACAATAAATGAATTTAAAATGAGGTGAATTCAACACCAAAGTTCCTTCAATAATATTAGAAACCGAAACCAAACATCCCTATCTAAATATTTTTGGCTTTTAAAAGAAACAAATAAAATACCAACAGTAAAACGGAAAATAATAATTTGAACAAAAACTTGTAGAACAGGGGATGACCCATGCCCTTTGTGCCTAAATGAAAAACTACACATTATCAAGTTTCTAAAAAAAACAAAATTTATTAAGTCAAAGTAATGAAATAGCGTTTTTTTTGCTGACACCACTAAATGTACGCCTTGAAAAATTATTAATTTATAAATGAATAGAAAAAGATTTACAATAGAAATTAAATCCTTATATATATATATATAATAAATTCCACAATATCATATATAAATAATTATACAAAACCATATAAAATCTATTAGCAAATACAATAAATTTCAGACACGTATAAAAGTAAAGTATTAAAAATACAACCCAATCATAACTCAGTACCCCTTTAAGAAACAACCAAGAAAAAAATAAACACCAAAAAAGACTGTAACTAGAACATCAATCAATAAGAGTTTTAACAGATAGTAATAAAAACAACAGAGCCTAATAGAAAAGGCCATCGTAGCCAGACAAAAATCCGCAACCCAACCTTATACGACTCCAAAAATTTGATATATAATAAACATTCACACTTTCGTCAAAGTAGAGACACCTAGATAACGAAAGAGAAACTCCAGATTACAATTCCATTTCAAACCTAAATCATTTCTTCTGTTAGCCATTCTAAAAATCCCTTGAGAAGGAAACTATGGTATAAATTTCAAGTTTAATATTAAAATTAAGCTTTAGGACATGAGTTTGAGTTTCAAACCAGTAATTTATGTATTGCGATGGAATCATATTTTTAAAAAAAGTAATATATATATATATATATATATATATATATATGCGAGGGAGAAGAGTTATATTCAGATTCTATTGCTGACTCAGGAGAGTCATCTTTTAAACATCTGTATATTTTTTGTAGAGAGTAAACTAAAAAAAAAAACCCTGAGAGTCAAAGTAAAATAGAAGTTGTATATGCGCAAACGATATGAAGTTGTAAGTAAACAAATAAAATAGCAAATATCTTCCATCGAGTTTCTACCAGAGAGAGGGACAGAGAATGTCATGTTGCCGTGTAAGAAAGTGAAAATGGCGGTTCAATTGGAAATGATATCCAGAGAAATGAAAAGAGTTTGAAAGATAACGAAAACGAGTCTAAGTGAGAGGAGTA